CAATCACACCCATGTAAAAACCTTTGATAGTTTTTGTCATAACTCCTTACAACTTTTCACATTTATTGCTATATAAGTTCACAAAGGTTAACAACACTGATTTGTAATCACTTAATTTCCTGTGAACATTCAAGGATGATTGCAGCAGACAGGCTATTCAGGAAATTCAACAAATTCAGAGAGTAACCAATAGACTGCTATGTCACACTGAATGACATAAGGTAGGTGATATCTCAGTCGGTCAGTTCAGAGTTTACCAATTTCACAAGTATTTTTTTGACAGGCTGTATGCGGGACACTTTCAGTCAGACCATTGGACAGAGGATGCGGTAAAGAAAGTTATTTTGCTCTCCAAATGCACTTGAAACTTAACAGTGAACTATAACAGTTCAATCCTTGATCTGTGTGTATTTCTTCTGAACCTCCAAAGTAAATAATCCATTGCTCAGGTAACTTATCAGTTATGGACAATGCTGAATTTTCAATAAGAAGATATATGTCAGTACACTTAGTAAGGTAATTAATTATCACCAACACTTCTTTTTCATTTTTGGAAAGGATCCAACTGTATCCTGTCCATAATATTCCACTGCTGAGGAAAGCAGATCACTTCCTGCCACAACTTTGCCATGTGGCTACTTATTTATCTGTGCTACAGTACAGAACTGACATCATTATTAAACATCTTTATATAACTGTGGCCAGTGGAACTGCCTATGGAAGTTTATTAGAATATGGTATACAAAAAATTTAAAACATCCTGTATCAAAGCTTTAAGAACCACTAGAATAAATTATAATATATGTTCTATGTCTGCATGAACCTTAGTGATTGTAATACACTCCATATCATACCTACAATTGATCACTTAATCAACTTAGTTTATGAGCATCAATGCTACTTTTACTGCATCATGTTGATCATTTCTTTGTCTGTTCAACAGTAACTAATAAACTATAACTCATACAAAAGCTGTTGGAAGTGTTTCATGAATATGAGAATTGTAAGCAGTTATTTCTCTGTCATGCAGTAATGATATTTGGACATACATTCAGTATCATCATAGCATCATTCCAAGCCTCCTATCACTGGAATCTGTAACCACTATAAATGGACAATCTGAAAATGCAATACTGGTACCTTTTTCAAATCTTGCTTAAATAGTCACTTCTCAAAGTCCTTAGTTTAGCTATAGTGTGAATCGCCAATGGCATAGACAAATAATGTTCCTGTCTCCGAAATACTTGCCATACAGCTACAGCACAAAACCAGAAAATCTTGACCTTTGTTCTTGTTTAAAGGTTGGTGTCTGTCTTTTACTGCCTTAACTTGAGTTATATTGGTAGTCACATCATGCTTGACAACTACAGATCTGAGAAATTCTGCTATTAGCACACACATTCTTTGCTTCAATTTTAGACCTGTCTTCCTTAGTTGCTGAAATATCATCTTTAATTTTAAGCATTGAAACATATACCAAACACACTTGTGTCATAGACATCATTCATTCTGTAAACCACATAAATAAGATCTATCAAACACTCAAAAATAGCTGGAAAATTACACAGGATGAATGGCATTATTCGAAATTCACATTATTCATTTTAAGTACTGAAAGCAGTCTTATGTTGGCTTTTGTCATCAAGTTCAACCTACCAATACCCAGATTTAATATGCCGGACCATCAGATCCATAAAGAAACTAGACTTTCATTTGTAAGAAGAAGTAAAAACATCTTAGCACATGTTACGATCTTCACCTGCCAAAAATTCACATAAATCCCTTCTTTTTAAAGATAACTAGTGGTGAAGCTGTGTGCTCAATAATGGTTATAAATATCCATCTTTCAGCATCTATTCTATCTCAGCATTGAAATTACCTTTGTGTTCCAATGCAGCTTGTGTTGTGACTATTTTATTGGATGTATTTCACCAGGCTCTATTACTTCTACAGAAATGGCCCATCTAGTCTAACAAAACACTGAAATACTGTAATAGAAACAACACATTAAGAGTTTCTGTTGATTTTCTTGTCAACTCTCAGCTCAACCTCCAAGTAGTGATTTCATCTGTCTGCACAAAATTACACTTCATTCATGGAATATATCTCACTCAAAGACACATGAAAGTTTTGGCAAGTGTGGCTTAGTATTTGAACAGTAGACAGTTTTGTCTGTACACAATATGCCTACTTATTTTTTATTATAGGGTTGTGGACTATGGTTTAAAATAACCACTCTTATAACTATTATCATTTACATTTGCTTGTATAGTTTCTACTCAATTTACAGTAATTGTTGTTTACATTTTTTTGCCCCCCTCAAGTGGCACAGCGGCATGTCTGTAGGCTTAAAACACTAGAAACTCAGTTTCGATACCCGTGGTGGGCAGAGCACAGATAGCTCATTGTGTAGCTTTGTGCTTAACTTCAAACAAACGTGTTTTTAATGTTACTTGCGCAAAGCTACACAAGGGCTATGTGCGCTAGTACTAACTAAAAGAACACAGAGCTAGCTTTTGGCATACTCTTTTCTGTCTGAATAGTGGGATTTGACCGTCATTCTTATAATGCACCCACAGCCCTCAAGTTTGGAGTGCGATTTTGCAGCAACAGTGTGAGAACCACAATTCTTCGGATTCACAGTCTAGCATTTAAAGCATTACACTTGGCCCAGTTTTTACTTATAATATTATGATTTACAATCATTCAACCGGGAAGAGTGAAGGTGCCAGTTTGTTTTTATTATTTCTAACTATACTCTCATTCCCCTTTAGTATGTATAGAAAGATTCAGATGTGCAACATCCAGTTTAATTAAAATGGAACAAGAAGTCAAGAACTTAAAAGTCTTTTGGACTGAATATACGTGATAAGCTTAACTTCTTTTGATCTTCTTCAAACAGTACCAATTTCTTGTATCTAACTCTTATCTGTTTTTTTTTTTATATTGTCGTACATATTGATTAAAGCTCGGTGAATACTCAACTCAGAAGATCGTTTTAACAGTTCTGTTTCGTAAATCACTCGTTATCATTCTACTCATACAAAACTGGGATCTTAAGTATATCATTATTATTATTTTATTTAATTTGAAGCACTATGGTTTGTTTTGAATTTCGCGAAAAGCTACATGAGGGCTATCTGCGCTAGCCGTCACTAATTTAGCAGTGAAAGACTAGAGGGAAAGCAGCTAGTCATCGCTACCCACCGACAACTCTTGGGCTATTCTTTTATCAATGAATAGTGGGATTGACCATCCCATTATAACGCTCCCACGGCTGAAAGGGCGAGCATGTTTGGTGGGACGGGGATTTGAACCCGCGAACCTCCGATTGAAATTCAAGAGCCCTAACCACCTGGCCATGCCGGGCCCAGCAGCACTATGAACGGCATCTACGGCATTTGAGCTATACGCCCAGGTCAAGTGCCCCTATGATTCATGTCAAGGATATGATGCTGCTGTAGTGCACTGGAGTGATGCTCCAGCACATGAAATTGGAGCTGAATCTCAACACCAAATAGATGTATGTAAAAAATATGTTATTCAGTTTACACCATAAATAGTCTTTGATAAGTAAACTCTCCAAGTGTTCTAGAATATTCTAGTTGTTAGCGATCTCCCATGTCCACTGGTAGAGTTTTCTCACACTGTCGAACACACACAATGTCACTTTCCCTCAGAAACAGGTGTCAGGCACTATGCAACCGCTTTGACTCCAAAAACAGGTGTCATAGCGTTAAAATGATGAAATGCTTTTTGTCGTACATCACAGACACAAAAATATGATATTAAAACTCTTAATAAAATACATTTTACAAGTATATCGTGTGTATATAAAACATACAAATTTGAAAAAGGCTTATTATTTACAAAACATACAATGAAGATTGCTTTTTTAGTTATTCATGTTGCCTTCCACCTTAGATGGTGTAAAAAGTATTATAAACGTTAAAGTGGTGAATATTGTTGTGCAGTTGAAAATATAATAGAGTCATAAGATGTGTTTTTAAAAGTTTTGTACTTTAGTGACTTTTATACCGTACCTAGTTGTTGTTTTCTATGTTGCTTGATTTTAAAGAAGTTCAGCTGCACAAAATCAGTGCTTCACATATTTTCTTCACTTAAAATGGATTAACAAAAATAGAAATTAGGTTTTGAATATGAGATCCTTATCTCACAAGTCTGACAAACGTTGGCAGGGTTCCGGTACTATACATTTTATCACTATACCAATGTGCATAGTTGTGCCTAATTTGGACCTACCGAAGTACGAAGGCAGCTAGCAGCACTCATCGCCACAACAGCTTTGTTTAGCCCTTTGAGCTGAAAAAAGGGATTGACTGTCACTTTTATAATGCGTCCACAGCTGAAAGTTTGTTCGTATTGAACAGCATCACGCCTCACACCCCGAACCTTTCAATCCACAGCCTGAAATATTAAACACTATGCCATACCCGTCCATTTCGGAATGGATTTTACCTGTTAAAAATACCATGCCCCAATAATTGATAAATTGCTTTGTAAGTTTTGCAAATTTTATGATTAACTATATTGTGAAAAGATCATTAAACAATCAGAAAATATCCCGATGTTTATCTTGTCAAATTGGATAACAAATAATCGACGGATTCAGATAATTAAATTGTATCTAAAAACAGGTGTCTGAAATTCCTATAATCTGAAATTGTTATCCCCTGAAACACCAATCATATAAAAACTCAATCAATGCATTATTCTAAAGTTACTTTAGGTGCTTGGTGTGGTTTGCTGATACCGGGAATGTCGTCACAAACCAGATGAAAACACATATTATGGTTCTTAGCTATTACTTTTCACAACATAATCGAGTGACAAATTTTGTATTTACTTAAACCTAACACTTTACAGATTTCCTTTCAACTGATCTGCGTATTTTGCAAAATTATACATTTTTTTTCGCTCTCTCTCCAAATTCGACTGTCTTTAAAGATATAGCAACAGAAAACATTAATTAGGCTTACCTCTTCTTCTACTGGATCGGCTAACGTTTCTATGAAACAGTCTTCTTCCATTTCATTGGTCGGGGTTTCATCTCCATCTGCCGACTCTGGGGGAGTTGGAGTGATGTCATTGCACTTCAATTGAAACTCCCTTTGATACAAATAAAAAGTTGGTTGTACTTAGTATTCATGTTGATACTCTACTTATTTATATCTTTATATTTCATTGTGACCAGTATCCTTATTACTTTTACAATCTTTCCATAATTTAAACTGTTCTTTATCCTCGGTTTAATGTTATTTCATACAGGAATATGACACGTTTTTACAACGTCAATTCGTAAGTATTCTATTACGATTAAGGTCACGTATCTAAAGCCTACGTTATATCATGTTTGATTAAAAGAGTATAGTGGATTGGTACTCACATGGACTAAATGAACAGGTCAGATACTCCAAGTGTTCGGGTATAACCGTCCCTAAATTTGAAATACTGACCAGAAAGTTTGTTTGTAATTAAGCACAAAGCTACACAAGGTATCGAAACCCGGATTCTAGCGTTGTAATTCCACAGACATACCGCTGATCAGAAGGAAAATCAGCATCACCCGCCATCACAAAAGCTTTAACAGGTTTAGAATCGTATAATGGGATTGACTGTCACTCTTATAAGTAATATGCTGATTGTTTTTATTACATTATATGACAAAGCTTTAAAGTTGTATTTGCATTGGATTACAGCATACAATATTTTTCAGAATAGTTAATATTTTCTTTAACCTTAAAACGTATTAGAATTAAGTCAACAGAAGTTGAGTATGTTATATTAAAAAGATTTTAGTCTCACCACATCGTTACAATCCATGTCACAGCGTCAGTTCATCCCCTATCTTACAATTATGCATCTTAACAATAGCTCTGAAGCGTATGAATGTCATGCTCAAAGCACACCATTCCTCCTTGCATACTTTTCAGAATTTATCTAGTATACGAGGACGACGGTTTTCCAGCGCCCATTTTAACAATCTAGTTGCATAAACATTAATAAGCTAGGCACTGTGTCCAGCAGCTTGAGCAGTATGTCTTCATATGAAACAGCATGAATACCAGTTTCATTCTCCAGGCGCTTGCAAAGGCTGAACAGGAAGTATGACTGGAAATCTTATCTTGGCGAACCGATGCCCTGTTGGCTCCATTTTCAGACGAAGATTGTTCATGATTATGTTGTGTACTGTTTCCTGGGTCAAATGGACGACTTTTGCAACTGGCATCTGTGTTACTGGATTTTCACTTGTTATAAGACGCAGCACTTTGATTCTCACGACTGAGGTAGAACTTGTATGTCTCTTTCTTGGTTGTTCTGGTGCCCCAACTTGAGGTACATTCCTTTGTAGAAAAATTCTGAAACATTCCGTGTAATTACATTTGACCAGTAGAAAATGGCACAAGACTTACTACAGTTAATCATCAAGGTACATATACGCTTCATCGAGTGTCACCACATACTCCTATTTTTTCTCCGGCCAGTTACCGTTCATACAGTTTTCTAAAGTCAATTTTCCTTCCCTGGATATGTGGTGGAAATAACTTGTGTACGCGTGACTTGTGTCACTTTTTCAGATTATTGCGTATTATTGCCTAGGACAAGTGGACGGCTTTTGCCATTGACCTATGTGTTCGTATTTTCATCTGCTACAAAACGCTGCATATTTTTTACCACAGCTGGTAAGACTTATTGCAGACCTCTTCTGGATAGTTCTGGTGCCCCAAGTTAATCCAGGTTCCATTGTTTTCCAATGACATTATGTACAAGGGATATCCCCATCGTGGAAATTCTAAATCCCCGATCTGATTACATCTATATGATCTGAGTGTACAAAAGTTTTGCGTCAGAAAAACTGTAAACACACCCTTTCCAAAAACAACCACCTTTTGGTACTACCTAAGAACTGCCAAACAATGTCAAAATTCAGTGTGGTTATCACGTGATTTGCTGATTTACATATTGAAAATCGTTTTAACATAATGTACTCAACCCTCTGTATAGATAGACAGAGCTTAAGCTTTCAGTTATTTTAGTATCCCTTGTATACGATATTCAAAAACATTCAATTGATGAAAAACTTACTTATTGTTCAATGTTCTTGCTATATCTTCTAAAGCAATCGATACCATCTCGTTTTCACCCTTCATCGCAAGAACGATTAAAATGTCTCAAACTTTTAGCAAAGTATGAATGACTACTGTGTCAGAGTCAGTCACCAGAGAGTTCGTATGTTCATATTAAAGTGACAAATCTTGAAAATCTGAAATCAGCATCTGAAAGAAAAAGGAAAGACGTATTCTAAAAATGGAAAACTGATATCCAGACAATTTGTTATTATATTTTAACCATTAAGTATGTTACAAAAATATATATATTTCAAGCAATATGACTAACTTACATATCCACTATGTTCCATACCGAATGTAAATACCTTTCGTTACTTTCAGAACCGAGCGAAGCCTTAAATGTATTGCAGCAACTGCGGTATGATCCAAAATCGTACTTTATCTTTCCACTTCAACATGCGTAAAACTTTACACGATTTGTAAACTTTATGTCTCGTTTTTTATCCGCATGTGGTTGTGTGGATTATGCCAATACTGACAATACTTTAAAACATAATATAATTGCATATTATCATCAGTAATGTTCCCCTGTGTTTCAAAGCTAAGAGATACTTAGCGCTAGATCAATTTGTGTTGTAAAGCTACACGATACTAAGGATTTTGATAACCCTTTGTGTTTCGTCACTGTTTGCCCTGAGCCATAAGTAATAAGCCATGTAATACCTTCTAGTGTTAGTACATAGGTAGATCATTAGTGAACGCCACGAAAATAATTGATGTACTTTGTAGAGACAGTAGTGTCACATGATTATATATTGTACGCTCTGATACGAATGTTTTATAGAGTAAACAGTTACACGAATGTTTCATAAGTTTGAGATAAAACTGTTGTGCTTTGTAGAGTCAACAGCCACATTACTGTCTGTTGTAAATCCTAAGATAACACTATAGTGCTTTGTAGAATCAATTATAAATACATATAATTTAAGGTCAACAAGGAACCTATTGGTTTATCTAGGACATCCCATCCACTATACTAAACACTATACTATACTAAAATATACGTAAACCTTTGAAAGCCAACCTTCATGATTCAAATATTTATCAAGCCTTCCCTTAAACTCTTTTACATTAACTATATCCACCGTATCTGAAGACAACCCATTCCAAAGATCAAACACCCTGTCAGAAAAATAAAGCTATCTGAGATGACTCCTACCCTTCCAAAATTTATATCTGTGTCCCCTCATCTTACATTCCACCATTAAATATGAATGCATCAACAACACTAATTCCCTTTAAAATCTTAAACAGCTCAACCAAATCCCCTATAATTCTTCTTTTTACAAGAGAAAATAATTTCAGAAATCTTAACCCATCCTCATATGACAGCCTTTCCATACCACACATCATCCTAGTAGCTCTCCTCTGAGCCTTTTCCAACAATTCAATATCCTTCTAAGGTAAGGAGTACAAGACTAAACACAATAATCCAAATGTGGTCTAACCATTGACCTATACAATGATATTATAACATTTTTAGATTTATTCAATATTTCTGTAGATACAACCTAATATACTATTTGTCCTACCACTACCAAAAGTACATTTCTTGGATGGCTTAAGAGTCTGATAAACCAGAACACCGATATCTTTTTTTTTTCATAACCCTGTTAAAGTAATTCCCATCAAAATTATACTCATAACTCATATGCATTATCTTGCATTTGTTATAATTAAAATCCATCTGCCATTTATATGCCCAACTCATCAAATAATACAACTCCTTTTGTAAAACAGCAGGTATGCTTCTAAGAGCCAGCAACACCCAAACCTTTAACATCATCAGCAAATTTAAACAATTTATTGACCATTCATTCATCTATATCACTGATGTATAAAAAGGCAAAGATCCTAACACTGAGCCATGAAGTACCACAATTTTGACACGAACCAAGCTTGGCTGAACTCCATTTATAACAGCCCTCTGCTTTTTTTCCATCCAGCAAGTTTTCTATCCAATGAGCCAACCTATCCTCCATACCTACAGAGATAACATTTAATTAGCTTTTTGTGTGGCATCTTGTCAAATGATTTCTGAAAAATCTATATACATCAAATCCATACCTGTACCCTCAACTTCATAAGCAGTAACCTCTTCAAAGAATGTCAAAAGATTAATAAAGCAAGATTTTTCCTTCGTAAAATCTTGCTGATTATCCAACAAAATTTTCAACTTTGTTAAATGATTTTGCAAAGCATCTTTTATCAGAATTTCAAAAACTTTTCCCATCACTGACTAATAGGCCTACAATTACTTGGAAAATTGTTATCACATTTCTTGAAATGAATAACATTAGTCATCTTCCAATCTTCTGTTCAAGTATCCCCATCATTTACCTCTTTCAAAACCCTTGGATAAATATTATCTGATCCAGGAGTTTTATCGTTCCCGATTTTTTTAACAGGCTCAGAATTAATGTGATCATTTTGTTTAAACTTGTTTTCATCTAGAAACTGTTCAAAATGAAGAATATTGCTTAAACCTTCCTTAATCAAAATTGAAAAAAAAGTAAAATTTAATAACCCAGCCTTCCCATAATCATCACATATTAGCCTTCTCGTATCCTCCTTCAAAAGCCCTACTTCCACCCTAACCTTTTGCTTACCTTTAGTGTATTCAAAGCAATCTTTATTCTTATTTTTTTACATTTTCATCCAACCTTTCTTTAAAAACTTTTTTGGTTTCCTAATTTTCCATTCGATCAACTCTCTTGATCTTCTATAATATTCTTCCAAGTCTCCCATTATTGCTGTCGATTTGAACTTCTTATTTATTTATAATGCTTTTCTTTAATTTTATCCTTTAAACCCTTTTGACCCAAACCGTTTTATCTTTGTTTTTGTTTTACTTCCAGCCTCTTTTTCTCTCCATAAGGAACATACCTTGAATATTTAAGAACTTATTTTTACCCATTTGATCACTATCTACAACAGACTCTGTTGTCCAATTCACAGTAAATAATTATTGTGTCATCTCTTCAAAAGTTGTTTTTTTTTATTTGGAATCAAACTCTCATTATTTATTCCTTATTTCCATATGCAGTAAAACATCAAACCTCATTGATCAATGATCAGTTGTACCCAGATGTTCCCCAATCTTCACACTGTCAACTATTTTTATATTACAAGTTAACAATAAATCTAAAATAGCATTGCTCCTGATAGGTTCTCTAACCAACTTGCCAAGAAAACCATCCTGACAGTTTCTAAAACCTGTCTCCTTCATGGTTTGATTCTAAAATTTCCCAGTCTATACGCCTGCAATTAAAATTTAACATAATTATAACCTCATTAACAGCTAAATTCTTTATCTCATTGTAGAGTTTCTCATTAATTTCACCAGTTTCTTCTGATGGTCTATAACAAATTAGAACTAAAAGCCTCCCCTTGTAATTACTAACAGAAACCCAAACAGATTCAACCTCATTACGTGATTGTATACTGTAAATTTTGAGATAAAACTGTAGTGCTTTGTACAGTTAAAAGTTACGTGTTTGTTCTTTATAAGAGATGGCATAAAACTGTATTGCCTTGTAGTCAATAGTTGTGTGACTGTGTTGCAAGATATCACGAGATAAAACAATTACGTTATTGTTTGTTGTAAACCATAGTGAGATAAAACTGAAATGTTTTCTAGTCAACAATTACATGATTGCTTGTTGTAAATCCTGATATAAAACTGTTGTACTTTCTAAAGTCAACAGTTACGTGACTGTCTGCTAGAAACCCAAAGACCAAGCACTGTATTTGATACACTTATATATAGCATCTGTTTTAAGCCCCTCTAAGTGTGTGATATCTTACAAAATTAGTAAACGTATCTTTGTCACTAAGCTTTTTTTATTGGCAACAATTAATTATATTCTTATCATAGTCTTAGAAAGTTACATTATTTTAAAATTATTTAGTGGAAGTTTGATTAAATTTCAAAGTTAAACTATTTTTAAAGATATGCCTATTGTTCACGAGTGAAAAGAGAAAATGAACATAACTGAAAATATTCTAAAGATAGTCAGGGAAAACAAACTGCAGCAGACCGGAATGACGATGTCAACTAGAGAAAAACGTGGATTCAATCAATTCCTTATGCAGCAAACCAAGAGAAATGGCGCAGGACCTGACGTAGTGGATGGTTATGTCACAGTCCAACTTGACGTAGTGCAGGGTTATGTCACAGTCCAACCTAACGTAGAGAATGGTTAGGTCACAGTCAAACCTAACGTAGGGAATGGCTGTGTCACAGTCAAACCTAACGTAGGGAATGGCTGTGTCACAGTCAAACCTGACGTAGGGAATGGCTGTGTCACAGTCAAGCATGACGTAGGGAATGGTTATGCTACAGTCAAACATGACGTAGGGAATGGTTATGCTACAGTCAAACATGACGTAGGGAATGGTTATGCCACAGTCAAACATGACGTAGGGAATGGTTATGTCACAGTCAAACCTGACGTAGGGAATGGTTATGTCACAGTCCAAACTGACGTAGGGAATGGTTATGCTGCAGTCAAACATGACGTAGGGAATGGTTATGCCACAGCCAAACGTGACGTAGGGAATGGTTATGCCACAGCCAAACGTGACGTAGGGAATGGTTATGCCACAGCCAAACCTGACGTAGGAAATGATTATGTCAAAGTCAAACGTCACGTAGTAAATGGTTATGTCACAGTCAAACGTCACGCAGTGAATGGTTATGCCACAGTCAAACCTGACGTAGGGAATGATTATGTCACAGTCAAACGTGACGTAGGGAATGGTTATGTCACAGTCAAACGTCACGTAGTGAATGGTTATGTCACAGTTCAACCTGACGT